GGAGCAAGTCCAGCTCTGGTTAAAGAAAAGGTCCGGTTCAAAGAATCTCGTGTGCTAAAGAGGGTCACCTTTGCAAAGGAGAAACTCAGAGAAAAAGTACAGATTCAGAATGAACTAGCTTGGAAGGTTCAACCAGTCACGGAATTTTGTGACAGTGGTGCTTCAGTCCCAATCCGACAGTGGGTTAGGAAAACTAGTATTCCGGCGTTGAAAGTTTCTCCTGTTAACTATTTTCTTGGTTTGGAGGATGTAGGTTCTCAGTTTGCCTTAGAAGCCAGGAGAGTGATAGATGTGTCACACTCGGAGCTAGCAGAGAAAGAGAACGAGTCACGGGTTGTGACTGATGAGTTGAAGCTCAGTGGGAGCTTCAACGGGCCTTCAGGTAACTGAAGAGAAGGCCGCTGCAACTAGTGGAAAATGAGGATTACAAGAGTTACAAATGATGAAGACTAAGGGGCATTGTTCGAGCCTCCAAGTGGGAGATTGTTGGGCGAATTGAGTGTGGAGGCTCGACAAAGAAGGGCAGCCGGCCCTAGTCTTGGTTCGACCCATATGGCAGTAAATTAGGTTTTTAATTTAGCCGGCCCTAATTCTCTATGTGGGCTTGGGCCTAACTTGGGGATTAAGTTTTCAACCCTAGTTTAGTCTTCATAAATAAGGATCTCTGTACTTGTAATTCTGTGAGCACTTGAATAATAAAAACCCTAGTTGCAAAGTGGATTAGGTCAGCCGACCGAACCACTATAAATCTTGTGTTCCATTTTTCTCCGTTGTGATTTCTGGTTTGTGTGTGTTCTTGTTTGGTTGTGGTTTGCTATTCAGTATTCATAGATACCCCAACATATTGTTGCGAAACATAGTATTGTTTGTTCAATCTTTCCTAGTAACATTTGCTCATATCATCGGTCTCTCAATTTTTCATGTTATTTTATGTAGATCATACTGTGAATTTTCATCTGGGTTAAATTTTAATCAAAATTTATGCATGAGATTCGACTAAAAATCAAAATAAACTCTTCTAACCTTTCTAAGTATGGAAGCTTGCTTTGCTTAGGGTTCATTATATAAAACTCTCTAGCGTGTAGCTTGTGGCATATGCCACTTAAGATATGGCTACTGTCAGAGGAATTTTTTTCTCATTTAGTCTTTGGTCTACAATTCCTCACTAGTGTTATAGTGCAAATGTGCAATGATTAAGATTCTAACCTTTTTATTTCAAGAAATTATTTAGCTATGTTATCACTTATGAGATATTTTTATTTATCTTAGTGATACATGTGTGTGGAATACTGTTAAACCTAGTACCATGTAATAGAATACAAGATTCATTTGAGACTCGGGAGTCGGGATATCAGAAAATTTTCCCTTGGGTCATTTTGGATCGAGACTTTCAAAGGGTTTTGGAGGGGGAGACTTTGGAGTGCTTAGGTTAGCGTATCATTTTATAAACAGAATTTCTCCAAAGACTTTGGAGTGCTTAGTGAAGACCACCAATTGTGTTATTCTTTCAGGTTTTATTAAAATATCAAATATATGTATCAAAATATGGACTTAGCCCACCAAAACCCTTCATCCAAACTAACCTCTAAAGTGATGATGTGCAGAGCTGGTAAGTTTTTAATCTAGGGAACACAATTTACTCTAGAACATCTTCCCTGGCATGTGACTGGATGATACTAAATGGGGGTAAAACTATGGGCGTAAGTAGCAAGATAAAAGAGAGAAAATTGAGGCTTTCAAAGGGTTTTGGAGGGGGGAAACTTTGGAGTGATTAGGTTATAGTCTCACTTTATAAAAAGAATTTCTTTGAAGACTTTTGAGTGCTTAGTTTAGACCACCAATTGTGTTATTCTTTCAGTTTTTATAAAAATCTTAAATATATGTATCAAGATATAGACTTTGCCCATTAAAACCCTTCATCCAAACTAACCATTTATGAGTCTCTTAAGTGATGATGTGCAGAGCTGGTAAGTTTTTTATCTAGGGAACACAATACTTAGGAACATCTTCCTTGGCATGTGACTGGATGGGAGTAAAACTATGGGATTAGGCAGTAAACTAAATGAGAAAATCACTAGATCAAGTTGAGCTTTTTTCTTTGCTGACAAGGTTTTAGTTTTTTTTGTCATGTCTGACTGTCAGTGCTCTATTTCCATCTAAATACATAGGGTCTGTCTGGAAGCCTTAGGCAAAGAAAATACAGAGGAAAGTAGAGAAGAAAATTAGAATGAAAGAAAATTTTAGGGGAAAATGGATCTAAAAGAGTCATTATTGACAATGTTTCAGTTTTGGGCGCGTAATAGACTAAATCAAAATGGAACACTAAACTTCCCTCATTTATAACTTTCTATGAAGCTTTGGGCAGGAAATGCAACAATGCATCTAGGGTCTAATGGAATCAGTTTTATTGTTTTACATGGGTAAGACTGCATACATCTTGATCTCCAAGACCCTGATGGAATTGGGATTATACTTTGTTGTTGTTGTAATCATTTTATTCATTTATTTATTTCTATCATATTAAGGCTCGACACCTAAAATGTGAGTATAAACCGAACATAAGAAAATACCTTTCGCTAGCATTATTTTCTTTTCCCTACCATTTCCCAGGATCAATACATACCTCTAAATGGTCAATTTTTTTCTTGTGTTGCAGCGTCTTTGGAATTACTCGACAGGTAAATTCTTGAAAACCTACAGTGGGCATGTAAACTCAAAGTACTGCATATCTTCAACATTTTCCATCACAAATGGGAAATATGTCGTTAGCGGTTCTGAAGATAACTGCGTATATTTTTGGGAGCTTCAGACGAGACAAATTGTTCAAAAGCTGGAAGGTCACAGTGACGCGGTTATATCAGTAGCAAGCCACCCCACGCAGAACATGATTGCTTCTGGTGCCCTTTCGAAGGACAAGACAGTAAAGATTTGGACTCAAGAGGATTAATTTGTTCTCGTAACAATTTTTTGTAGGCCAAAGGAGCATCCCTTTGGAAATCTGGGATTACGGCACACACCGAAATAGCACCCAAGCCTGCAATTTGGCTTAGCATTTCTCTGCAATCCACAACCCCTTTGTGTTATTATGGAAGAAAGCTTGTGTTCCATGGTTCTCTCTCTCATTATGATGTTTGGAGTGTGATGCAGATTTATTTAGTGTCATTTATCTTTTGTAAGCAAACTTTTTGAAGTGCAAGTTTTAGATAAATGAATTCTAGATTGTTGTGAGATATATAGCTTTCAGTGGTTCAATGCAACTACACTTGCAGAGTGGAGAAAAAAGAGCCAAAATATTTAACATTTGGATGGAGTTACAGTTTGAAGAACCTCTTTGATTATTAGTGGCGGATTCCAGAATACTCGGGTTAGAGGGAAAGATAAGTCTAAACTCTAAAGAGAGAAATCTGATTTTTTTTAGTGTTATTGATTCGATTATAATGTAGTATTTATTTATACTTTTCTCAACCTTTCCCCCGTCTTCGTTAGGACTCAAAGCTGGGCGAATTTTCTTATGAGATTTAGAGAGGAGTTCCTGCTATCCAAGTCAAGTTAGAAGTTCATAGAGAAAACTCATTTTTGTATTGATAATAACTAATAAGTGAAAACAAGTGTAGGGTACTTATTTAGTTCATAGAGAAAACTCATTTGTGTGTTGTAAAAGCAACATTTTGCTTTATAAATCAAAATGACGGCTAGGTTATGACATTGAATTGGATTAGATGGGCAACCAAATTTATGGGGTAACGTGAGGACATGGCCTTTGCACGGGAGCATGTGTATTGGTGGTTAGGCTTTGCTTTTTACAACTAGAACCAATAAAATGCCTATCACCTGCCACATTAAATCATGCAGTGGTAGGGCAAGAGGGCTAAGTATGCACGGGCTAAGTATGCACTCATTTTTAAGGCATGAACATAATTAATTATATCGTGTAAAAGCGTACACAAAAAAACTTATAGAAATACTAAAATAATAATAGAGAAAATGGTAATGTACGAAGAGAGGAAGTATATTACATAAACTAATTTTTAGGAATAATAATGTAAGGGATTAGGTTTTTTTTAGGAATAATTGATTTTATTTAAAGTAAAAATATCTATCTTCTGCATTGATTAAAACATAAATATTCACAATGGTTTTTTATATACTAAAGAGTTAGTGCTTACTTAGGAGTTCACGAGTCTAATATATTATCTTTATAATATATTGACAAAATAATTAATTTGTATATGTTTGTTTTTCACAACATTTAAATATATGTTATGATAATTTTTGTGTTCGTGCATAGCACAGGCATAGATACTAGTGTGGACAATAATACCGAGTACAATATTACCACAGGAGTATACCTCAAGCATATATTTTTCCATTTTCAAAACATTTTTTTACTTTTTTACATTTTTCTTAAATATCATAAAGTGAAAGTGTCAAGTTGATATTAGAAACAAAACAGACATTAAACTTCTCATGATTGTCACCTTATGATGACTCAAACTTAAACTCTCTCAATTATCATGTGAGATGGGTAAAACTCATTAAATCACTCCTTGTTGAAATAATCAAATAAAGGGGCAATTTGACTTTGGCTGGGTACTACAGCCACTCAAAAAGAGTGACTACGGAAGTCACTCACCCAATTGGGACACCTATATTGCTCTATTTGCAAAATTGATAGTCCCTACCCTCCGATTAACCCCCACTTTGTCCCGACCTTAACTCATTCCAAAGTTTTTTTCCTTCATGGAAAGGAAGAGTAGAAACACATCTACAAAACAATCATAAGAAAGTGCAACAACTCAATTGAATATGATATTATCATTTATTATTTCAACATTCTTTAACTTGCATACTTGTTTTCCCTCTATAAGTATATATATAATCTTCTTTTACTTTTGGGTGAAAAGAGAGAAGCCTCATGGTTCCCACACCACTACAAGGCACTGGACAAAACGTATGTGTCAAGAGCCTATTCATTTTCTTGTAAACATAATCCCCTTCTGAATACTCGCTGCTAGCTCTTCTTTTGCCTTTTCCAGCCCAGCCCTGCAAGAATGACAATCTGTATGAGCTGAGCATCTAATGAAGACTGAAATTCTGATGAAGAATGAATGAAATAAGCATGTAACCTTTCATATTCATTCATGGGACCAAGTGAGTAAATCTCTTCAATTCCATTGCGCCCAAGCCGTACTTTGGATGCGAAGAAAGGGAGCTCCGTCACCTGAAAAGGTACACCACATATCAGTGGTCTAAAAACTATTCCCGTCCATTATGACTTTCTTGATGCATACAAAAATGAATGAATGCAAACATATGTTATGTCTACATTCGTTCATTTTTCAATGTACCAAGAAAGGGTTAATAGACAGTTAATATGGAATGGAGGGAATAAAAGGAATTGAGTTGTAGCCATTGGTGTAAAAGTGATGGGATATGTTACATGCCTGAGAAGCCACAAAGGCACATTCAACAACTCCAGCATCTCCTCTTAATCCCCGTAAGCATGCATCTGCAAATTTGACAGCAGCATATGCCTGCCGTATATAGATTTAGGTAGATTTCAGTAGTTACTCAATGCGAAATCTTCATGCACAAGCAGAAAAAGAAGGGAAACAGAGAGAAAAAATTGATTGCTAACCATGGACAGTGTTGCAGATCCTGCACCAGCTTTTGCCTGGGGGTATAAGGGGGAAGAAAAAAGAAGACATGAGTTTAGTCGAACCATCACACCTATTGACTATTGAGAAATGACAAGGAGTTGACATAGTTTCTCAAGTCATTTCCATTCCATGATTACCAACTTAATACTAAAACTAAAATTTGGAAACATGTATTGGAGCTCACAATACCTCAACAACCTCAGTGCCTCCATTTTGAATACGTGAGGTCAGATATGAAGTTTCCTCAGGAGACAAAGAACACGGAGGTTTAACCTGGCCCGTTAAAAAATCAACGGTTAAACATACCACATGAACTATGCATTTTACCAGTTTTGCACTTTGCAGATATGTTTTCAAACCTGAGACAAAAGAGGTAAAATTGTAACTCCTGCATGACCACCTACAACTGGAACATCCACTTCCCTTGGATCAAGTCCCAGAACTTCAGCCTGAAAACAAACATAAAAAATCAAGGTTACAGGTCAATGATGATACGGTTTGATATTAATTGGTCTTATTGAATTACGAAAGTTTCATTAGTATATGCAGGGAATACATAGGGATTCCTAACTAAAGTAGGAATAGTAACTTAAGTAGGAAAAGTAATATGGTAACAATATAATATATAAATGTAGAATGATTTAGTAATTTCCTATTATTCCTATTAAATGCAAATCAATAATGGAAAACATAAATGGTTGGCTGGAAACCCAAACATTACATGTCAGCCTACTTTTCAGCTCATTAGTCCAGAAATATCACTCACTCCCACTGTCCCTAAATTAATTTCCCACTTCCATTTTTGGGATGTCGCAAAATAAAGTTTGAAGTTTTAAGGGAAAAATTAGGCGGTTCACATCATTTCTCTTTCCTCTACATAAATCTCAACCACACAATTTTAATGAGATCTTCATTCAAGGAGAGAGGGAGCATTATAATCGTTCCACAGCTTTACCGAGTAAATTAACCAAAAGAGAAATGAAACTCAGATAAAAAAAAGGGTTCAATTATATACCACGAATGTATTGGCTCTCACAACATCAAGCTTTGTCACTCCCAAAAGCCGTTTGGGATCATAGGTGCCGGCCTTTTTGAAAACTTCTGCAGCAATTGGAACCGTTGAGTTCACAGGGTTACTAATTAGATTGACTATAGCTTTTGGACAGCTCTTTGCTATTCCTTCACACAAGGTCTTAACAATTCCAGCATTAATGTTAAAAAGGTCATCTCTTGTCATCCCAGGTTTTCTAGGAACACCAGCAGGAATGATTACAAGATCCATGCCCGTGAGAGCCTCCTCCAACTGTTGTTGCCCCAAAAAACCACGCACCTAGAAATCCAACAACATTGTTAACACTAAAAAAACATTTTTGGAACAAAGACAATTTAGGTGTATAGACAACAATACAACATTGGTTGACACCAATCCATAATAATTGGGTCCATTCACCATATGAACATAGAGATACCATGTTTATCATCATTAATTGCAAGAGGTCAGGCATTATTATTTCAAATTTTTATCATGCTTCCAAAGGGAGCTAAAAAACATTTTAAACAATGTTTTAGTTGTGGGTAAACAATGGACTCAATGAAAACTGCACATAAAATCTCCATTCCTTCTTACTTTCTTACAAAGTTTTGGGATATAAATGAAGCGGTGCATCAAGGGTCTAACAAAAATAGCGGTAAACATGCATATATTGTGAACCTCAGACCCACACAGGTTTGGGATTATACTTAGAGTTGGAATACTACATCACTCAAAGACTGAAAGATGATAGTCAGATTTTTGGCCAAGGGGACCGGAAGATGATATACTCCGTAGTATATCATACTCGTATATACAGAGTACTACATACTGAGATTAGCAGAAAGGATAACGCTATTTGTACCCCATTTGTACACCGCAGGTGTGCACCAAGATTTTGTGTTGGTGTAATGCTAATGTTTGTTAACACACCAACACTTTGTGTCAGTGTAAATTTTTGTTAATGCACCAACACTTTGTGTTAGTGTGAACTATCAAAATGTTGGTGTACACCTTTGGTGTAAGTTTGGGTTACAAATTTTGGTGTAAGTGTTCCAAACTAACTAACAAAACTACACATTCAAATTGAAATATAAAAACACACACACACAATGGCTCAAGTAGAAATCTCATGAGAACAAGAAAATGGAAAGATGTGAAGTCTGAAAATTACCACAGCACCAGTATCCATGTGGCTGATATCTGAGGTAACACCTGGTGTATTTACCACATCGTAGAGATGCAGAAGCGAGACCAACGGGTTCATCTTCATGAGCATAGAAAGAGGCTGTCCTATACCTCCAGCAGCACCCAAAATCGCAACTCTAAACCCTGGCGACGCCCCTTTGGCCCTGCAATTCGCCATCCCCAAACCAGAAACTTCTTCCGTCTTCAAACCAACATAGCACAAATTCAACAAAGCAGATGAGTTATATGATCGATTTCAATCATATACAAAGCTGAACTTATCATGGAATCGAGCAATATACAGATTAAGGTAGTGGAAGAATATGAAATGGGGAAGAATCGCGAGTGACCTGGGATTTATGAGGGGATAGGTGAGCTGAGATTCGTGAAATTCTTAGGTTAATATCTGCACCTTGCATATTTCTGAGCTGCTGTAGGAGAGATCAGAGTTGAAGAGAAGATGATGCGATAGCTTCTTGTTTGAATAAATAATCAATCCAAGAAGAAGATGGAAAGTCTTGGCACTATACAAAGTCCAAATGAACTGCCTTTTTTTACTCCCTCCATCCCCCAATATTTGTCCAATTTTGATTTTTGAAACTGTTCATTTAAGCACTTTGACTCATCAAATTCTCTCAATGTGTAAGTCTAAATATAGTCATGTGTGCTCTTGTTTGATTTGTCTTAACATATAGATTATTAATATATAATTTCTATAATTTTTTAATATACAAATTACAAGATAAAATGGATTAAAGAAGTGCATTGGATGGTGTGTAAAAATGAAAGTGGACAAATACTCTGAGACGGAGGTAGTACTAATTTTGAGAAAATAATATAATTTTGTCACTCCATATTTTATAAAATTCATGTTGTGCTTTTGAAATGATCTCTCGTTTTAGTATGAATTCTATGGTACAGTATTTAAAAGGTCAAATTTTATTTTACTTCATTAGCTTATTTTTATTATTCATTTGATAAAATAATATGATTATGTCTCTTACAGTTTTGTAAATCTATTTATGTTGTTTTTAAATATGTAATTTTTATTTTTTTGTTTTATATCATTTTTCACATAAAATGATTTGAAAATAACTTCAGTCAAAATTCATAACGCGCAACAGGAATATTATTGTTGAACGGAAGGAGTATATAATTTTTGTTTTTTTAATTCCATACCAATTTTCAAAAATATTGAATTAAATATAACTTCAGCTAAAATTCGTAAACAACAACATATGATTTAAATTGTGACAGTTGAAGTAGTTTTTTGAATAAAATTTTAATTTTACAAATTAATTATGATAACGCTAAAATTATTGTTAGATAGTTTTAAGTAAATTTCATAAAGGGCTTTTAATTACAAATTTTTTTCTATATTTAGTCCCCAAAAATTTCATAAATAATTCCCAATTTTTGAAAATTATTTAATAATTGATCCTTTAGGGACTATTGTTGGAAAAAATATTTAGTCATATTTGATCTAGATGACTATTTATGAAATAATTTTAAAAAATTCAGGATAATTTATGTAATATCATGTATCTAATTTTTTTTGAAGGAATATCATGTATCTAATGATTGAGGACTAAATAGGAAAAAACCACTTATATTTAGGAATCATTTATAAAATTTACTCGATATAACTTTAGTGAATACTCTTTTCTCTTCGGATCTTAAATTATTAAGTATTAACTCTATTACTCTCTACACATCGATCGCAAAAAAGGATTCTTTATTTTCTTTTCGAGACGTTTTAAAAAAATCAGAACTTGATTCATTCAAATGACTTAAGCCAGAGAGAAAGTCAAAATAATAAGAACTTAATTCATCATAATAATAGAAACAAAGTCTGGAGTGAAGGACATCCTTCATAGCACATTTAAACGAGTTTTGAACTTTGCGGCCATTGGAAGTCATTAAAATCACGCACAACTAGACTGTGTGTTATGGGGTGCGAGAAGGGGCTTTGCCACTTTCATCCATCCGTCACGCCCCTATTCCAGAACATCCATATGTGACTAGTGCGTTGCCTTTAGGTACGCCGAAGTGCAATTAGGAAACGGAAAAACATTTAAACATTAAATACTTTACTCTGTGTAACAATTTAGTTAAATACTGTTTGTATTCTTTATTATATGGTAAATATAATTAAAACCCTTTTTTAGAAAATGTAGTATTCCATACTTTTTTTATGTAGTTTATTTGAATTAATACAATCAGTATTGTAAGATTTGTTGTTCATAACTTTTTTTAACATTTTTTAAATATTATTTTATATTTACAACACTTTTTTTATATAATTTGTATAGGGAGTTAGGGAGTGTGTATATTGCATTTTTAAACCACTACTCCTGAGTAAACAAACTTGAGTTTTGGCGCCTAAATCCTCTTTGAGCAAGCGGGCATGAAACGTTTAAAGCCAAATCCTCTTTTTTTCTTTTTTGGAGTTCAGTTCTGGTAATAATTACGGTGCCGATTTTCCGTAAACCTGTCCATCCGCCATGGCAAGCCCTGCGTTTTAAACGTTCATTCTTCACTTCTCTCCTCCAGTGTGAACTCAAAAAAACTTGAACTTCGTCGTCTTTCTCTCTCATTCGTCACCCCCTCACCGGCCAACCACCCACCGCCGTTTCAGTTTCTTTTTTTCCCCTTCTGATCTTCATTCATACGTCTCATTAATTAATAAACCTGTCTCTCTCTCTCTCTCTTTTTAAATTCATGATTTGGGTCGAACGAATTTCAATTCCCCGTGGTGGACGGTGCGATGCGTCGGTTTCTGGTGCTCTGCTGTTTCTCCGTTGCTGTTTTCTCGCCGCCGGCGATCTCTTCCCGCCGGGACGCGGATCTTTTGCTCCGGGTGAAAACTCGCCTGCTGGGCGACGACAATGGGGTGCTCGGCGATTGGAGCGGTCCGGGCGGTCCGTGTAATTGGACGGGTGTTGCGTGTGACGGCCGGAGTGGAGACGTGGTCTCGATTGAGCTCGGCGGGCTCGGTGTTTCCGGCGGATTTCCGGCTGATTTTTGCCGGATTTTATCCCTCCGGCGCCTGAACCTCTCAGATAACTATTTCGGCGGGGAGATTAGTGCCGGCTCTTTTTCTCTTTGCTTCCGTTTGGAGATTCTGGATCTCTCCTCGAATCTTCTGGTGGGGGAGTTGCCGGAGCTCCGGCGGGATTTCGAGAACCTCACTGAACTGTACCTTCATTCGAACAACTTCACCGGCGAAATTCCGGCTAGTTTCTCCCGGATGCCGAAGCTGGAGAAGCTGAATCTCGTGAACAACCTCCTGAACGGCACAATACCGGAGTGGCTGTGGAATCTCACCGAGTTGACTCACCTCGAAATTGCCCTCAACCCGTTCGTGCCGAGTCGACTCGCCCCGTCGATCGGAAATCTGGGGAAGCTCGAGTTTCTCTTCGCCCGGCAGGCAAACATCATCGGACCCATCCCGGATTCCATCGGGAGCCTGAGTAGCCTCAGGAGCATCGATCTCTCTTCCAACAAACTTTCCGGCGAAATCCCGGAGACCATCGGAGGGCTGAGAAGCGCCGAACAGATACTTCTCTACGACAACCGAATCTCCGGCGAGTTACCGGACACATTCTCGAACCTCACCTCTCTGGCTTTCTTCGACGCTTCCCAGAACAGGTTGACCGGGAAAATCCCCGAGAGCCTCGCCGGATTACATCTCGTATTGCTGCATCTAAACGACAACAATCTAGAAGGTGAAATCCCAGATGTCTTATCTCTGAACCCGAATCTCAGTGAACTGAAGCTCTTCAACAATAGAATCACCGGCGTCCTGCCGGAAAACCTTGGCACGAACTCCGAACTGACGGATTTCGACGTTTCCGGCAACAGATTAGAAGGCCCACTGCCGCCGAATCTCTGTTCGAAGAAAGCCCTTCAAACACTAATCATTTTCAAAAACAGATTCTCCGGCAGCATCCCGGAAACCTACGGCGATTGTAGCTCTCTCACATACGTACGCTTCCAAAACAATGAACTCGCCGGAGAAGTGCCTTCCGGTTTCTGGGGATTGCCCGGGTACAAGCTCTTCGAGCTCCAGAACAACAATCTTGCAGGGACAATTCCTCCTTCAATCTCAAACGACCAAGAACTGACAGAGATTCTAATCTCCGGGAACAATTTCTCCGGCGAAATCCCGCCAGAACTATGCAAATTACAGAAGGTGGCGATCATGGATTTGAGCAGAAACAGATTCTCGGGTGCATTGCCTTCATGCCTCACAACACTGAAGAATCTACAGAAGCTCCATCTTCAAGAAAATCTCATCCAAGGCGAAATCCCCAAATCCATTGAATCTTGGAGTGAATTGACAGACTTGAATTTATCTTTCAATAAACTATCTGGTGAAATCCCAAGCTCTATAGGCTCATTGCCAGTTCTAAACTATTTAGACCTTTCCTCCAACAACATATCAGGTGAAATTCCATCCTCTTTAATCAGGCTCAAACTCAACGGCTTCAATCTTTCCAATAACAATCTCAAAGGGAAAGTTCCTTCTGAATTCGATAACTCCATTTATCAATCAAGCCTAACAGGAAACCCGGGTTTATGCAGTTCTACCCATCTCACCAATCTCCCTTCATGTACCAACCACAAACCCGCGCGTTCTTACTTGGCTGGTATTTTGATCCTTTCCGCTTTTGCCCTTGTCGGGTTACTCGCCTGGATCTTGACGAAGATGACATCATCATGGAGGAAAAGAGGTAATAACAAGCGACCATCATTGATGAGGATCGCGTTCCAGAGGATAGTGTTTGAAGAAACAGAACTGTTGGAGTCCTTGACTAGCGACAACCTCATTGCAAGAGGGGGTTCAAGCCAGGTTTTTCGCGTCCAATTGAGAAATGGGCAAACGGTCGCAGTCAAGAAGCTAATGGGGGAGGCGAGCCGAGAAACTGGGGAGAAAGAATCAGAAGAGCTGTTCAAGTCGGAGGTGGAGACTTTAGGGAATGTTAGACATAGAAACATAGTGAAGCTGTTGTATGGCTGCAGTGGGAAAGATTTCAAGATTTTGGTTTATGAGTACATGGAGAATGGTAGCTTGGGAGATGTATTGCACAGACAACAAACAAGAGAAGAAGAAGAAGGAGAAGTGGTGTTGGATTGGCCCAAGAGGTTCAACATAGCGGTTGGCGCCGCTCAAGGACTGGCCTATCTCCACCATGATTGTGTTCCTCCAATCCTTCACCGCGACATCAAGTCTAACAACATTTTGCTAGACAAAGATTTTAGACCAAAAGTGGCTGATTTTGGGCTGGCCAAGATGTTATACGAGGGCGGGGCTAAGGTGCCGGAGCAACATGACCATGACATGTCTTGCGTCGCTGGCTCATATGGCTACATTGCACCCGGTAATACACGATAGCATTTTCTAAATTCTCTTATGGCATGTTTGGGAACATGGATTTGGATTTCAAATCCGGATTTGACTCAAATTCCATGTTTGGGAAATTCAAAAATTTTGAATTTGGATTTGAGTCAAATTCCTCTCATTCATAACAAAGCTTAATTTGAAATCCATGCACTTCCCCTTGTCATTTGAAATTCAAGATTTCAAATCTTGGAATTGAAATGCATGAATTGAAATGAAATGCTAGTTGCAAAACACTACCTTAATTTAAATTATCTTGTTTGTCGGTACA